AATTGAAAGAAAAATTCCATGACGTCATCAAATTCCACACGGAAGCGGTGCAGTTAAGTGTTGGCGACGATTTGTTTCTCCAAATCAGTTGGATATATCGTTTTAAATCCTTCACAGGTTCACATTGTCCTTATCCGCTCTGTTCAAGGTGATTCTATTTGCTTTCTTTTCGACTGCGATTATATTTACTTGCTGTGGCCTCTTGTATTTACGATATGTAAGTCTATTTTGAGATCTTCCTTTTAATTCTGTTGCATTTAAACGTAACAAATTTTCTTTTTTATTGAACGCAACTTTTCCGTTTTTTTTTCTGTGCAGCTGTTGAAAATTGGAGATGTGGTAAACTTTACATTGATTAACAATAGCCAATGGATAATTGTAAATGAAAATAATTTTTGAATCTTTTTCGAAAATTAGGTTACTTTTGTGCACCAGATATTTTGGTCAGGAGCAGGTTTAACATGGTTTTTCATATTCTGCGATATTGGCAATGGGGTAACCGCTCGTTATGAGGATGTTTCTGATGCATTGTACGATACATCGATTACATTGTTGAACTTGGGACTAGCAAAACAATTACCGCTCATTATGAATAATGCTCAGAGCCCGGTAAAAATGCGAGCTTTGATGAACGTCGAATGTACGCGCGAAACTTTTAAAAAGGTAAAAACGTTTGAAATTTCTTTTTTCAAAAATAAATAAAGCTAAATTGAGCTGGAAAAGATTTTTTTGATTTAATACAATGATATTATCCACAATCCAATTTGTATATGTGTTGAACTTATTCATTTGCAACAGCTATGCAACGGCAGCTATAGCTACTTCACTATACTGAGCCAATTCAACCGCTGAGTCGAGTAAATAATATTAATTTATCAATGATCATGAACCGACTCGAAACTATCGAACGGATCTCAAACTTAATTGTTATATGAATTTTAATTCACGCAAAATGCACGCCGTTCTATTTCAACTTTTGAACCGTTATATGTCACTTCAAAACTGAATTTGCACCAAATTTTGATGGGAAGCACTAGAAGACAAGTGAAAATGATAGCATGCACACACAAATTTTTTACTTAGGAAATTATACTAGTTGACGCTTCGACCCGCTTCAAACGTGAATAATTTTTGTAATACAAATATTTTGTTGATAAGATACTTTAATAAAGATGATAAAAATGTTTTTTAGCTTTCTTTTATTCAACAGTGAACAATAAAATGAAATAGGGTAGATGTCAAAATGGATAAAGTTACCGGCATTAAAAAGCGTCTAATGTCTATGATCATTCAACATGTATCGGAAATCATTCGCACACTTTTCGACAACATTCAAAACGAAAGCTCTCCTCCATTCGATGAAATATAAATTCCTGAATCGTTGAACTTGCATCATTCCTAGAATATCAAAAGTGATGATATTTTAATTTGGTTTGATTGAAATACATTATTTTTTAACATTCAAAAGCAGAAATGCGACAGTTTCAAAACATGTTCCTTATTTCATATAGAAATTGAAAGAAAAACAAGACCGCAGAGCGGAGCGAAGCTCTTGAGATTTTAGTTACTTATTCTATTTTGTTGTTTCACAACAAACTATTTTTTGGCGCACTACGTTTCATAAAGAAGAAATATGAGACTTATAAAGAGAGGGGAAATATTGGAATTAATTCGATTAGATTATAAAGTTGAAATTGATGGAAAATATTCCAATGAGCTAGTCAGACAACCTTCCTGTCATGAAACAGAGAGCCCAAATGACAAGATAGCAAATGAATATTACTTTATAACTAGAATGATGAGCATCGCAATAATGTGGTCGTTGTCATCCGTTCCAAATAGTAATTTGCGTTAGTAACAATTAAATGATATTGATAGTAAATATTCGTCGGCAAACCGATTGCTTAATCATTCGAATACGAAATCAAATGGGACGAAACGAAACACAAACATCAACATTGAGCCACTTATGATAATGCCGGGGTTCATGAAGATCATCGGCAAAACAATGTTTGTTGTTGTCTGCTTCGATTTTATTTTCAAGCGATTTGAGTTCGTGTGCGAGATTCTGTGACAAAGCATGACTCTGAAGAAATATGAAATGAAAGTTTGGATTATTCGCTGTTTTCATATTTATAATTTAATCACTTACATTACAAATATTGCATACACAAGGCATTCGGCTCTTTGCTGCAGATAGGACGAATCGAATAATTTAAATATTTAGCACAGATTACACCGAACTCGTCAGTCTGACAGTAACTACCGAACAATTCGCAAGTCAGCGGAGAGCCAGCCTTCAAACACTACATTTGTTCAACTGGAAAATTTTCGAAAGAGTTTCATTTAAATATTCAATGTAAGTCGTTTGAATTCTTTAGCTGTTGAGTGCATTCATTTCTGTGTTAAATTAAATTTAAATCTTCATTACACTTGTGTTCTGCGGAATTCATTGCACATGCATCATATATGTGGAACAAAGTGTATAAATCGAAATTGGCAAAATACCACTTTCACCAGACAAAATAATGTTGTCTTTAATCTTTCTTTGTGTTCAATAAAGAAATTGAGTGAATGTTTGAGGTCATTATTTGAAATGCTGATAAGAATAACAAGTTCAGCGTTTTTGTTGCACTCAAGCATAGTCCCAGATAGTGATGCTCTTTGTTACATATACACAACAATTGATAATTATACAATAATTTTGATAACATTTTTTCTATGGTTCAGATGTCTTTTAAAGTGGAAGCAGTGCCGTCGCCAAAATCGGTAAATAGCTCAAATGGCTTTGAATTTTCAATATTTCGCAAAATAAAATGAGTTTTGAGCAAATTATGATTTTTTCAACATACTAACTAAACTAAAGCAACTAATTGAAATTATTCTTGATAAAGATTCTCGGCGAAGGCCCGCATTGGGATGAGCAATTACAAAGTTTGTTTTACAATGATATTTACGGTACCGAAGCATCAATTCTGCGATACGATTTCAAAGAGAATAAAACCTATTCGGCGAAAATCGATGGAGAAAAAATTGTAGGTTTTATAATCCCAGTTGCCAACACAACGAAAACATGTGAACTTGATGAATACGCTGTAGGAATTTGTCGTCGTGTTGGAATCGTGCACTGGGATGGAAAATCACCGAAAGCATTGCTTGGCCCAATTGCTTTCGAAGTTGAAGATGACAAACCTGAAAATCGTTTCAACGACGCCAAAGCTGATCCAGTTGGACGATTTTACGGAGGTACGATGCGCCAAGAATCTAAAGGTGATCTTTTCGATGTGGCGGCTGGCACATTCTATAAATATATCAAAGGCGATGGCGTATATGAACTACTTCACGGCATTTACGTATGTTATATATATACATATGCATATGTGTTGATGTGAACTTTATTGTGGACACTTGTTTTTATTAGGTTTCAAACGGTATGGCATGGAATGAAAGTACTAACAAATTTTACTACATCGACTCATGCAAATTTAATGTGAGAGAATACGATTGGGATCCAAGCACGGGTGACATTTCGAATGAGCGCATAGCGATTGATTTCAAAGTGAATGGTAAAAATCCCCCATTTATACCGGATGGAATGACAATTGATACTTACGGAAATCTATATGTCGCAACTTATGGTGGATCTAAAGTGCTTAAAGTTGACCCAAAGTAATTGACTCATTTCGACTCAATTATTGAAATAAATTTTTTGCTTACAATTTTATTTTCACACAGGAAAGGGAAAATTGTTTTAGAAATTCCAATCCCAGCACGACAAGTCACTAGTGTGTGTTTCGGTGGGCCAAATTTGGATATTTTATATGTGACATCGGCTTCAGCTCCTACAAATGCTGCGGCTATTGGTTTACATCCAGATGACAAACAATCTGAATTGGATGGTCGTCTGTTCAAAGTCACTGGTTTGGGCGTTAAAGGCTTTCCAGGTGTTAGAGTTCGCGTTTAAATTTCTTTACTGATAATTCGAATTTAATAGCATGGTGCGAATGACAATGTAGAGTTGAACATGCAATTGACATATCGAAATTCTAATCTCAAATGGAATCGCTTTTATTGTTGTTCGAATACTTTTAAGAAAAATCAAATAAATCGATCACGTTAAATATATAATATCTACCCTTGCTTATTCCACAAACAGCTGACTCATTCACATTCAACATGAAAATAGATCTGATTATATATAATCAAACTCACATAGCTGTTCAATTATATTCAGCCTTTCTGATCATGAAAATAGTAAACAAAACAGCGGCACCGGGGGACCAAATGTAATGTGTCATACTTTCAACGTTTGAACTAACACAGACGCATACTTGTTACAGCAAACTATGTGCATGATTCTCTATTTCTCCAACCAGTCGCCAGGTGCCGTTTTATTGTTCTTGTTTGACGTTTCTTATCTTTTTGTACAGACGATCAGAGTGGCTGATTACATTCGTGAAAAAATATCAACTTATCAAATAACGAACATTTCGAATTGATACGAAGGTCTGTTGTATTGGAGCATATTTGACATTTTCCGCAGCGTTAATCAAACGCTGCGTCAGGGATTCAAACTTTTGAGCTTTCTCCAATGTACCACTAATACGCTATGGTAGCTCGGAATGAGAGAAAAGAAGTGAATGTTTTATATGTGTTATATGTATGTTGACGGAAGTGAAAACATTAGCTCCGACCAACAAAATCAAATTGGGTGGCACGAAACAGATTCGTTCTTGTGTTTCGATTTTTTTACTTAGAAGAGGCAATGATTCAGTTTTTTCTGACTTGACATTTCTTCTCAAATATCATCAAATCTTCGGAGTGAAATTCAGCATGTGTACCAGATGTCAACTCGGTCAATTATGACCCCATTTAAATGGTTAAATGTACCTGTCTTAGGCAATATCAAATCAATTATCATTCAGAATTTATTTGAAGCGTCTTTTCCTTTTTGATGAAATCTAATGGCTCATGCAGGATATCCTTTCGTATTGATATGACACGAAAGTCAAATATCTCTTGTTAAATATATGTGTGGAGTTTACTGAATGATGATTGGGGGAGCCCGAGAGAATTCGAAGGTATTTATCCATTTCGTAATTTGTGTATCCTCATGCTCATTGGATACAAAAAGGATTCAAAAAATAAATCTTCATTTTTCTGTGAGCTCGTATAACGTGGCGTATGAATTATAAAAGAATAATTAGTTTGGGTTGCCATTTAATAAAATTCAATACCAAGCGCGAGTATAAAAGCACGAGTTGGTAGGAGTTTTGATCAGTTCGAATCAAAATATCAGTTGAAAAGTTACAGAACACTCTGAAATATATCAGAAATGGTGAAACGATTGGAAACATTCAAAAGAATAAGAGAACAAATGGTGGTTTTGGGCTATTTGCCATTTCAAAATTTACCGCGCTGGTGCCAAAGTATTCCAGTTGGTTCAATTTATATCGGTTTCATATACATCGTATTGACACTGTTCGTTTGGACCACATCGTGGTTTCTCATTTTTGAGGAGAAAACCTTTGATGAATTATCGGAAAGCGTATTTTATACCGTCCAAGCAATTCTCTACCTTGTATTGTATCCGTTACTGCAATTCACAAATGACGCCTTGTTGAAAACATTCAAAGATTTGGAAGACATCATTGAAAGAAGTAAGCAATTTTCACTAGAATATAAAATTGAAGGGATAAAAACGAAACCAAACATGATAAAAATTTATTTTTGCATCAGGAATACGAGATCCAATGGTCAAAAATATTTACATTCAAACGGACGAAGGCTTCGAGAAAACCACAAACAAATCTTTTAATTTTGCAAACAAAGTGTTTTTACCGATAATCATTGGGCCAGCTTTTGTCGGATCATATGTGACTTTTCTCTTGTCCCAATCTGATGCATCGTTTCAACTCATATTTGTAGCATGGTAAGAGTATTTTTTTCAATGTCTCTAGCAAAAAATCATAGCACAAATACGAAAAATGCATGAATATTCAAACGAAAGGTAAAGTCGGCTTTATCCGATTAAAATCGTTGTCCGTAAGGTTTCCGTTTGAATGGAAAACACCGATTGGATTCTTCTTCGCCTGTTCCATGGAAGCATTGTTTTTCACCACTTTTTTCGAAATTGCCTTGTATCCGTTGTTCATTTACATCGGAATCGGTCGATACTCGATGGCATTTATTTCGGATGTAATTACTAATTTGAACGATATCAGAGTTCAACACGAAGAATCGACTAAACGACATGGAATTACCACTAAAGAGAGACGGGAATTGAAAGAAAAATTCCA